GTCCCCGCTCCCTACCCTTCCCTTTGCTGTGTCCCCGTCATCCTGCAGTCCTCAGCTGAGCAGTCACCGCCGCCGAGCGCCTTCCCTTCCGCTCTGCGTGTGGGCTGTGTTGACCCGCTAGCACATCGTCAGTTCTCACTGAGGGAAATGCTCGCCCATAGCAGAGTCGCCTGCTTCCTTCTCCCTGCAGTACAACGCAAGCCCTTCGGAGGCAGGAGCTGCTCCCAGTGTGTCTACGGTGGTGTCTTCCAAGTATACCGCACGGGACTAGGCGCTCAAGAAACACCCGCTCAGTGTCACGCAGGTCCTTGGTCCTTCTTTTCCAAATAAGGCAGAGGAGTTAGTTTTCATTTTACAGGGGAGAGCATTCAAGCTCAGAGGAATGAATGTCTCAGGGCCGGCCCGTGGCTCACTCGGGAAAGTGCGGTGCTGACACCACCAAGGCCACGGGTTCGGATCCCATATAGGGATGGCCGGTTGGCTCACTGGGTGAGCGTGGTGCTGACAACACCAAGTCAAGGGTTAAGATCCCCTTACCGGTCATCTTTAAAAAAAAAAGAAAAGAAATAAAAAGAAATCCTACCAGCGCAATTCCCACCCTTAAAAAGAAGTTGTAATAAAACGACAAAGCGTCTCAGAAAGAGGCACTAGGTCATTGTTCTGGGCAGGAGGAAAGGCCGGGAAGGGAGAGCAGCCGTGCGGCCTTTGTGGCCTCCTGGCTCTCGCTGCCAGGCATCGACCCCCCACCCCGACCCAACCCTGGAAAGCAATTCGGCATCTGCTACCTGCTCCTCTGGTGCAACTTAGTCCTCAGCAGTGTCCCCAGGATGGTCGTGAGAGGGTACCCGAGACTCTGAACAAGCTGTGTGGTGGCCACAAGGAGACGTCTTTCTCTCTAGGAAGCAGGTGGTGGGTCTTAGGAAAGAGCCCAGATCCCTCAACAGCCTGGATGTGGCAAAAGAGGAACTGACAGCTTCCATTGCCAAGCTCTGGCAACGACCCTAAAACTGAAGGGTTACTACCCTTCGGCTGGGGTCACTACCCTATAACTCAAGGGACACTATCTTACAACTGGAGATACTACCCTATAATCAGACGATACTACCTGTAATTGAGGATACTACCCTGAAACTGGGGGACACTACTATAGGGACACTATCCCATAACGGGAGTGATGGAGTTTGGATGTGTTGTCCCCTCCAAAACTCATGTGGAAATCTGATCTCCAATGTGGCAGTGTTGGAAACTGAGTCATGGGGGCGGATCCCTCATGAATGGATTAATGCTCTCCCTGGGGGACGGGGGGAGTAATGAGTGAGTTCTCGCTCTATTAGTTCCCGCAAGAGCTTGTTGCTTAAAAAGACCCTGGCACCTCCTCTCTATCTCTTGCTTCCTCTCTCTTGCTTCCTCTCGCCATGTGATCAGCTTGTACCCGCCCCGGCTGCCTGCTGCTTTTCTGCCATGAGTAGAAGCAGCCTGAGGCCCGTGCCAGATGCAGCTGTCCCAGTATTGTAAGCCAAATAAACCTCTGTTTTTTATAAATTACCCAGTCTCAGGTATTTCTGTTATAGCAACACAAAATGGACTAAAACAAGGGGACACTATAACTGTGGAGTGACACTATCCTGTAACTCAGGGGCACTCCCCTGTCAGAGAGTGACAATGTTTTCTAATTGGGGAACACTACCTTGTAACTGGAGGACACTACCCTACAACTGGTGGATGTGACCCTATAACTGGGGGACATGACCCTATAACTGGGGGACATGACCATATAACTGGGGGACACTGCCCCATAACTGGGGACACTATCTTATAACTGGGGGACACTACCCTATAAGTAGAGAGACCCTGCCCTACAACTGGAGTGCTGGGGGCCAGGGTCTTGGGGCCCCTGAACTTGATCGGCTCCAGCAAGTGGGGCATTTCAGGACTCCCTACCCCTGACTCCTGGATGAGACTGTCCTCAGCATCCAGCCTCATCTAATTATCCTTTGGGGGACAGAGACTCCCCATCCAGTTTCCAACACACGTGGGGTGGGGTGGGGGCGGAGGCCAGTAGCCTTCAACCCCCATCCCAGGCCTAAACAGATCCTCAGGTCTCCTGCCGAGTGCTCCCTGAGAGGGTGGGGGACACATGGCCATGGATCCCAGTGCTGGAGGGGACTGCAGACACGAGGTCACCACCTCAGTGGCTGCCCCCTACCGGGGAGTCGGCAAGGTGCCTGTCCTGCCCCAGGACTCTCCAGGGGGTGACGAGGCCTCTGGAGGGGCCCAGCCATCTGCCGCAGGATTCGCCCACACCTCCCGCTGCCTCAGCGAACTGCTGAGCGGCACAGCTCAGCGCTCCTGAGCTTGCCAGAGGCTGGGCCGGGAGCAAGTGCCCAGGGGCGCTGGCTGCAGGTGTGCCCAAGACACCCAGAGGGGGGACAATACCCACGTGCAGGTGTGTCCTGGCCATATTAGCTCAAAAAGTAGCTTCTATTGCTGCTTTCTTTCCTTTATTTCTGATTCTCCTGAGGAGGAGGAGGACGGAATTCACCTTACAGAGCAAACTGCTCCTTTGTTTTAGATAAAACACCTTCACGGACTTTTAGTTCTACAAAACCCCATTAAACAGAATGGAACTGAATGTAACAGAGATAATGAGGACATACATGGCTTTGCCTCACTGTATCAAAGGTTGTTCATATGTTGGGCCACCTCACAAAAAACGGGCCTTCTGTGGGATGATGTCCTGTGGGTCCTGGACTCCAAGATCAGACACGCAGATGGACACCGTGTCGGACTGGCTGCCTCCCGGGAAGGAGGGGCCGTGTCACTTCCTTCCTTTAGGCCCTTGTCTCCGGGGGATGCTCGTTAATATTAGATCTGGGCTCGCTGTCACCTCGGGAACTTGAAGGAAAGCTCTGCAATGGCCCAGGGTCCAGACGTATCCCCAGGAAATGCGGCCTGAGAGGGCCAGAGGTGGGGAAGGAAGGAGCCGGCGTCCAGAGCAGGGCGTATCTGAGGGGTGCGTGCAGTGGGTGCTTCTTACTTGGGGAACTCAGCCCCCGATTCTGTCTTTTTTGGGGGGACCCAAGGCTATATCTAGTTGGTTCAGAGATGGGCACGTGACTCAACGTGAGCGATTCCAGGGCTTTTGCTGGAGAACAAGAGAAGAGATCGGCACTAACTTTCTGCTGGACTTGAACCTGGGAGTCGTTGGTACTGGAGCCACAGTGCCAGGTGGGAGCATGAAGGAAGCCAACAGACAGGGAGCAAGGAGCAGGGTCGGGGAGGACAGAGGCCAAATGCTAATGACACACGAGCACCCTGAGTCCAGCCGCGGCTGAAGCTGTCTCTACCCCTGGACTGCTCAGTATATCAAACAGTAAATGTCTTTTCTTTCTCAAGAGCTTTTCTTGGGTGGGCTTTTGGTAACTTGCACACAGGAAGTCCAGGCCCATGCAGTCTGTAAACACTCCCAGGGGATCCCCAGGAACGTGAACAGAGACTAGACCGGCTGGGTCCTGCAGGGTGGGGCCTGTGGCCGGGCTTCAGCAAGCGCTGCGGGCAGGGCCAGCTCTCTCCTCTGGCCACACGGGCTGGCCACAGAGACCTGGAGTTTCTGTGCCTGTCCTCCAGCCGTGCCAGCCAACCAACCACCATTGGATCCCGACTTTCTGCTCATTATTCCTAGCATCTGCCGGCATCTCCCAGTCCTGCCAAGCCCCAGGCAGCCAGGCCCCAGGACGTGCCCCGCTAACCCTGTGCCTCCTGACCCATCCGCGCAGATGTGATATGCCACAGTGAGACGTGGAGAGCAGACTCCTTGAGGCAGTGATGGCAGCACGACCCGGCAGCACCCTGCAGAGTGTGCCCTACTTTTCTGCATCACCCACTTGATCCTGCTACCGACCCAGAGAGGACGAGACCAGGACAGATGGGGGACAATTGGCAAGGATGTCCCGCAGCTGGCCACCACGGAGGGGACATCTTCCCCAGTGGCAACACAGCAGGAGGGGCAGGGATGAGGACGGCCACCCTGGCCCTGGGCACATCCACTTGAAAGGAAACCTACATCCGGGATGAAAGACAGAGGGGCAGTGGGAAGAGACACGAGCACAGACAGAGGAGGACAGGGCAGGCACAGACCACACATACTACAGGGCAGGTGAAGGGCAGAGCATCAGCGTCCCCACCCAGGGCCTCCATCCCTCTGTGGGAAACTCTCCCTTGGCTTTGTCCTGCGTCTAAGCCCAGGCCCCACATTCCGTCTTGGCCGCGGGTTGAGGCTCAGAGCAGCTGCCTCATGGGCCAAGGGGCCTGGCTAGGAGTGGGCAGGGGCAGAGGGAGTGTGGACAGGCAGTGACAGCACAGACCCTAAACCAACTGCACCCCCTGCCCAGGTCTGCACACCCATCCTTGCCCTGGGTTTAGCTTCGCCTTGTGGGCTGGGAGGTGCCGCCCTGGAGACAGGCTTCCTGGAACTGAGGGAGCTTTGGAGAGCATGGAAGAGGCTGCTCCCCACCCCCATTCCATAAACAGTCAGGTGCCCAGAAACTGGGACAAAGCCCACAGGAAAGGGGCACAGAGTCCGTGAACAAGACAGAGCACAGAGTTAGCAGAGGTCTGGGACGTGGGGTGGAGGTGGCAGCCCCGGGGTCCCTCCCAGCAGAGAACAGAGACTCACAGGCCCCAGTCCCAGCCCCACACCCAGGCGAGGCTGTTTCCCACAGACGGGCATAAGGATAGTTGGTTCCCAGACTCCCAGCAAGGAAGCTCTGCACACACTGTCTCCTGGAATGTTCCAGAACCCAGGACAGGAAGGTGGATGTGGGGGGAGGGGAGGTCTTTTCCCCTCCATTTTCTGCTCATGACGCCCCTCCCGGCCTGAGCCATCATGGTTCCTGCTGCACAGTGTGATCCAGCGGGGTTGAGGCTCCTCTAAGCCAGCCGGCTTCCCATCGGACCCCCTGCGGAAGCACGGGCCAGGCCGGGAAAGCACACGCTCCAGGGGACGGCCACGGCACGTTCGCTTTATTAGCCTCCTTTTAAGGAATGAGAATGAAAGATCCCTCCTCGAAATGTAAAACGAAGCTTGACCCCGGGCCGCTCAGGTGGAGGTGCTGGAGCTCCCGCCCTTGGCCGCCAGCCATGCCAGGTGACACTGGGTCCCCGTGGAGAGGAGGCATCCAGGTGGGACTGCCCATCAGTCCACGTCGTGCAGCTCCTGCTGCTCTTTCCTCTCAAGCTGCAGCACCTAGAAAGAGAAGCGCCATGAAAACACACGCCGAAATGAACAGTTGCGCTGTCTAACTATGTGACCCGCACCAGTGGAGGGTCACGAGTCCTGGAGTCAAACATCTGCATGATACCACGATGTGGATGCGCTACAGAGTGTGTGCTGGAAAAATCTGGAAGGATGCGTCTCAGGACATCCACCGTGGTCACTGCGGCGAAGACATTCCAGGAGCTTTTGTCTTCATGTGCGTGTCTAACGTGTCCACACCTGTTGTTCTTTTGGCTGTCCGGCATCCGAGCCCCCCTTCTGATCTCGGGGAGTCTACCACGGAGTGTGTCTTGGCAGGAGCCAAGTCCTGCCTCCCATGAAAGAAGCCAGAGCCAGGAGCAGTTCCCCCTGCCCCGGGCGGCTGAACGAGGCCTGTGGTCTGAGGCTCGGCCAGTCCGTGCCTGTTGACTCCATGTGCCGCTGGGGTGTAGGGGTGACAGGCTAGTGTCCACTGTGGCAGGGCGCAGAGCATGGCCTTTGCCTCCCGCTGCCCTTCTGTCCATCCTCTCAGTTGCTCTTCGGCAACTTCCTATCCACTGAAATCTACCAGACACAGCACCTGTTTCTTGCAACCAAGAAGCCCGAAGAATTATCCGGCCCCAAATGTTAGCATTCCTCAGCCTCGGCACTACTGACCCGTGGGACCGGATCATTCTCTTGTTGGGGGCGAGCCCATCCTGTGCACTGCAGGATGTTTGGTAGCATCCCTGGATGCCACCACCAGATGCCAGTAGCACCTCCCCAGTCATGATAATCAAAAACATCTCCAGACACTGTCTAATGTCCCCTGGGGAACCAATCACTCCCGATGGAGAAGCTCTGCCAGTGACACATGGTGTCACTTCAGTGCCAGCCTCAGTGTACACATCACCTGCCCAGAGACGCCCCTGCTGACCAGCAGCTGTGAAGTAGGTCCCTTTGGCCCCTAGTGTTCTCTAGCTCAACACAACACTTTTCACAATCTATCACTTGTAAATGTGTCCCTGTGTTGACTGATCGGCCGTCTTCCTCCTCTCATCAGATTATCAGCTGCTCTAGGGGAGGGGCCACGTCTTAACTCACTCGCTGTTGGGGTTCCCGCTCCTGGCCTCGAAAAAGGGAAGGAAGGACGGAGCTTACTTGCTTTTTCATTGATTATATTACACCTTCCTTCATCCTATTATTAATTAATTTAAAAAAGAAAGGAAAATGGTGGTTTAGAAGCTGTGAAGCCATCTGGGTGCTGCAGCTACTCACTTTAGGATACAGTTTCTCAATGCCTGTGACTATAGCGTGGCCAAAAGCAAACTCTGATCAACTGTAAAGCTACCTGTAAATTAGTACAGCCATTCTGGAAAACAGCACAGAGGTTCTTCAAAAAATTAAAAGTAGAACTGTCTGTCATATGATTCAACGATCCCATTACTGGGTATATATTGAAAAGAAACAAAATCTATATGTCAAAGAGGTGTCCACACTCCCATGTTCAGTGCAGCACTATTCACAATAGCCAAAAGATAGAATCAACCCAGGTGTCCATCAACAGATGAATGGATAAAGAAAATGTGGTATTATACACAGTGCAATACTATTCAGCCTTAAAAAAGGAGAAGAAAATCCAGTCATTAGCGACAACGTGGATGCACCTGGAGGAAATTAGGTTAAGTGAAATCAATCAGGCACAGAAAGACAGGTACCACATGATCTCACTCAATGCGGGATCTAAACCAGCTGAACTCCTGGGACTAGAGTAGAATGGGGGTCACAGAGGCTGGAGGGTGGGGGGATTGGGAGATGTTGGTCAAAGGACACACAATTTCAGTTAGACAGGAGGAGTAAGTTTGGGTGATCCATTGTACAACATGGTGACTTTAGTTAATTACGATGTATTGTACACTGGAAAACTGCAAAGAGAGTGACTTTAAATGTGCTCCCCACACACAAAAGCGTAAGAACATGAGATAATGCATATATATTAAATAACTTGACTTTGCCATTCCACAGTGTACACATTTTTCAAAACACCACCTTGTTCACCATAAATATACACAATTTTTGTCAACTTAAAAAAATTGAAAATAAAAAACCTTAAACATACTAGTCCCTGTGCAGAAATAAGGACAGTAAAAAATCCATTGTGCATATAAAAAAGCTTTCCAGTCCTCAATAAACATAAGCTTCTGTTTCTTCTATACAGAGTTAACATAGAGAAAAACCACTTTTGTTCAATATACCTGATTTTCTATGCACCGAAACTGCCAAGGCCAGCGGGTGTTGTAGAGGAACGGTCGCAGATCAAACCTGTTGTCGTCAGGGCTGTAGTTCTCAGCGTGGTATGCCGGTGTGAGCGTGGTCATCTTGTGTCTGTTCGTGGAATACTTGGAGAAAAACTGCTTCACTTTTTCAGCCACCTGGTGGGCACACAAGGCACAGGGCTTCTAGTGAGCAAGGCTGGACAGGCCCAGGGCCAGGAGGCTCACACAGACTATGGCTTCAGCAGATCTGAGGTGATCCCACAAAGACGTATTTCATGAGGCTTCCGGGTGGTCCTGTGGGACCACCGTACCTGTGGGCTTCAGCCCTAGCAACACTCAAAACCAGAAGAAAAGCAATAACATTCTGCCATAGAAGTTGACACTCTGCCTGCAATAAAAGGGGAAAGGCTTGTTTCATGTCGTCTGAGCCCTACTCAGACAAATGTAGGGCAGACAGAAGCCCGAGTTGGTGAGTGTGAGAACTGGAAAGGATGACTGTGTGATGGTTTTATTATTTGGGGTCACGCTGCACTTACTTGCTCAAAGAAGTCAAATCAACCACTGCAAGAGTGACTTCACCTCCCTGACCTCCCTCTGTGAAACATTCTCATGGCTTTACCTGTCTTGGGGTGCAGATGTCTCTCCACATGTTCAGGAGTCTGCAGAACATGCTGTAGGGCCCCGTCTTGGCGATCTTCCTGAGCTTCCCATAGACAGAGAGCTCTGCGTATGTCATCCCCATATCTTCCTGCAGAGGACAAAATCCACCCCGTGGAGCGAGGGAAAGCAGAGCTGCAGCGGCAGCTAAGGCTTCTTCTGGAGAAGCCATAAGAGACCCAGGGGAGGGGAGAATTTCGCTAAGAGCCAGGAGCAGATGCTGGACCTGACTTCCCAACACTGATCGGCCAATAAGAAAGTGGCATTCAGAAAAAATGACAAAGGGCCAGACATTTGGTCTTGAGGACCGCAGTGGGGTGAACTGTCACTCACCAAAGGTGTGTTCCTGTCCTAATCCTCGGTTCCTGTGACCTTATTTGGAATAAGGATCTTGAGACGAGATGACCCCAGGTGAAGGGTGGGCCCTAAATCTAATGGCAAGTGTAAGGCACTGTGCACCTGGAAGATGGACCCTGTCCCCTGCCCTCTGAGTCCACTTCTCTCAGGCATGAAGGACTCAGAGAAGAGGGAACTGGCTCACAGAAGTCTGAGCCATGGTAGAGGCCACGAGATGCCACTGGAATCACTGTTCCAGGCCACAACTGTCCAAGCCCGGCTCCAAAGAGTCAACTTCACCCTGAGGCTTGCACAAGCCAGACACCTTTCCTACTTTTCAGTATCCACACCAATTCCCTCTCAACTCCTATCACGCCCACAGCTATCATCAAAGGACAGACAGTGAACACTAACATGCTGTCATTCACCGCAGTTGGGCCCTTGCCTTCAACCAGGGTCTGGACAGCCTTTGTGACATGTACCCTGCCTCCTACTCCCCATCACCCACTCAGCTCTACCACCCTGGTCTTGCCTCAGCTCCAATGTCACCTCCTTGGGGGCCTGTCCTGACCCCCGCCTGAGAGACACACTACCATATGCCATCTCTCTCCATTCCATCTCCCTGGTTGATTTTGTTTGTGGTACTCATAGCCACCCAGGCCATCAGGTTACTTCTTTCTTGTCTGTCCTCTCTATGGGACTCTAAGCATTTTAAGAGCAGTGGCCACATCTATCTGGTTCACCATGGAGTCCCTAGCACGTAGCAGGTTCTGGCACAAGAAGCTGCTTTACCAGTCTCTTTGGCATGAAGTGAATATTTTCTAAAGTAACATTTTAATTAATTTAATTAAACAATAAAAGTTGGAGACTTCAACACCCCACTTTCAATAATGATAGAACATTAGACAAAAAAAAAACAACAAGGAAGCAGAAGACTTGAACAATGCTATAAACCAACAAGACCAGGCAGATTTCTATAGTACATTCCACCCAGCAACAGCAGAATATACATTCTTTCAAGTGCACACGGAGCATTCTCCAGGACAGATCATATGCTAGGCCATAAAGAAGCCATAATAAACTTTAAAACATTGAAATCATACAAGGTATGCTCTGTAACCACAATGGAATAAAACTAGAAATTCAGTACAGAAAGAAATTTCAGATATTCACAAAAATGTGGAAAAAACCAGCATACTCCTAAATAACCAGTGAATCAAAGAAGAAAAGGATCATAAAGAAATATTATGAACAACTGGGTGGCAACAAATTAGATAACTTAGATGAAAAGGACATATTCTTAGAAAGACACTGTGATGACAAATTTTAGGTGTCAACTTGACTGAATTAAGGGGTACCCAGATAGCTGGTACAGCATTATTTCTGGGTCTGTCTGTGAGGGTGTTCCCAGAAGAGATTGGCATTTGAATCAGCGCACTGAGTAACGAGGATCTGCCCTTACCCAATGTGCGCAGGCACCACCCAATCAGCTGAGGACCCAGACAGGACAAAAAGTCAGAGGAGAGGCAAATTCTCTCTCTCTTCTGGAGCTGGGACACCCTTCTTGTTCTGACCTGGACATCAGAACTCCAGGCTCTCCAGCCTTTGGGCTCTGGGACCTGCACCAGCAGCCCTGCCAGGTTCTCAGTCCTTTGGCCTCAAACTGTGAGAGTGACACCATTGGTTCCTCTGGTTTTGAGGCTTTTGGACTTGGACGGAGCCCCACTACTGGCTTCCCAGGGTCTCCACCTTGCAGATGGCTTTTTGTGGGATTCTCAGCCTTCATAATTGTGTGAGCCTATTATGCTAATAAATCCCCTCTTTCATATATGTACACATACACACACGACATTCATACATACACACACACATATGTGTTTGTATTATCTTTCAATTCTATTTTTCCATGAACTTTTTCAAGTACCCTCATATATACACACGTGTGTGCACGCATGTGTAGGTATGTGTGTACATGCACATCTATCTCCAATTGGTTCTGTATCTCTGGAGAACCCTAATACAGACGCAAACTACCCAAACTTACTTAGGGAGAAATGTGAACAGACCTCTGACAAGAGATTGGATGAATAATGAACACATTTTTCACATGGCTTCCTGTGAATTCTACCAAAAATGTACAGAAAAATAAACACCAATTCTTAAACTCTTCCAGAAAAAAGAAGAGGAGAGAATACTTCCTAACTCTTTCCATGAAGCCAGTATTTCTCTGATACCAAACCAAAGACATCACAAAAAAAGAAAAGTATAGACCAACATCCCTGTGAATAGACATAAAAATCCTCAACAGAATACTAGCAAACCAAGTCCAGCAACAAATAAAAAAGGATTATACACAATGACCAATAAGTGTTTATCCCAGGAATGCAGGGTTGGTTTAACATCTGAAAATTGTAGAAAGAGCTTTTGACAAGATCCAATACCCTTTTATGATAAAAACAAAACAAACAAACAAACAAAAAAACACTCAAAAACTAGGAATAGAAGGAAACTTTGTCAACATGATAAAGGGCTTTTATGAAAATTCCACAGCTAGCATCATACTTAATATGGAAAGACTATAAGCTTTCTCCTGAAGATCAGGAACAAGACAAGCATATCCACTCTCACCACTTCTATTTAACACAGACTGGAGATTCTAGCCAGGGAGATTAGGCAAGAAAATGAAATAAAAGGCATCCAGATTGGAAAAGAAGTAAAATTATCTCTATTTGCAGATGGCATTATCTCATAAATAGAAAATCTTAAGGAATTCATTAAAAAGCTATTAGAATTAATAAATGAATTCAAAGGGTTCCAGGGTACAAGATCAATATACAAAAATCAATTATATCTCTACACACTATCAATGAACAATCCAAAAATGAAATTAAGAAATAAGTTCCATTCACAACAGTATCAAAAAGAATAAAATACTTTGAAATAAATTTAACAACAGAAGTGCGAACTTATACTCTAAAAACTAGAAAACATTGTTGAGAGACACTAAAGACAAATTAGTGAGAAGACATTCCATGTTCATGATTCAGAAGACTTAATATTATTTAGATGGCAATATCTCCCAAATTGCTCTATAAGTTTAATGCAATCCCTCTCAAAATTCAAGCTGGTTTTTTTTCCTTTTTGCAGAAATTGATGAGGTGATCTCAAAATTCATATAGAAATTCAAGAGACCCTGAGTAGCCAAAACAATCTTGAAAAAGGACAAAGTTGGAAGACTCATAGTTCTTGAGACTACAAATTTGAAAACTTACCACAAAATTACAGTAATCAGAATAGCACGGTACCGGCATAAGGATAAACATATAAATCAATGAAAAAGAATAGACATTCCAGAAATAAACCCATACATTTACAGTCAATTGATTTTCAACAAAGGTGCCAAGACAATTCAGTGGGAGAAAGAATAGTCTTTTCAACACATGGTACAGGAACATGTGGGCATCCACAGGCTCAAGAATGAAGTTGGACCCCTTCCTCACACCACACACAAAAATCAACTCAACTAGATCATAGACCTAAAGGCAAACGCTAAAAGCATAAAATCTTAGAAGAAAATATAAAAGTGAATCTCTATGACCAAAGGAGGCTGAAAGACCATCAGTCTTACAGTAGAAAGTCCGCAGCCACTTCCTCCAGCATCCACTACAGCTGCAGACCACAGCCCAGGCCTCCATCATTAAAGGCCAGCCTGGAGTGGAGTAGTCGAGACCCATCCTCCTCTGAGGTCACCCTAACGCCCATGAAGAGACTACCCTCCTGACTGCAAGGGGCTTGCTTTGCTCAGCTCACCATCCACACTCTGCCTCCCCACACAATCTTCACCCTCCTCCCTGGCCCTGACCAGGAGAAAGCTGAATCGCAGTGTCAGAGGCCAGCGATGCCATGATGCTGAGCTCCCAGGCCAGGAACCTGATGACGGAGCACCGTTCCTCAGGGCAGAAAGGAGGCAGAAAGAAACCCAGCACCAACACAGAGGGAGAAGGGAAAGACCCCATGACATGCCACCACCATTACCTCATCAGTCTGGGACACCTGTCCATTGGCCAACGGTTCCAGCTCTGCAGTGGCTGGCGCTGACAGGATGCTGCAGCCAAGACACACAGAGGTCAGTCCCTATAGCTGCTAAAGGGAGAGAGCACACTAGGCTGGGGCATGTGGATGTTGCTGTGGCTTCATGACCTGAGGACAAAGGCCGATGACAGGGAGATACAGCCTGGTATCTCTGCACCATGGCACCATCAGCACAGGGCTAGATAACTCTCTGTGGTGGGGCTGTCTGTGTGTTGTAGGACATTTGGGAGCATCCCTGGCCTAGACCCATTAGATGCCAGTAGCATACCCCATTGTGATAACTAAAAATGTCTCCAGACATTGTCCAATGTCCCCTGGGGGCACAATATCCCCAGTGAGGACAAACGTAGAGGAGAAAAAACATTCCTGGTACACAGGATGATGCAAGCAAAGGCCTCAAAAAGCTCCAGGTATTGACTTGCTCCACAAACACTGTTGAAGCACCAGGCACTCTGCTAAGTGCTGTGTCAGACCCCCCAGACTTATGATGGCCGGAGGAGGGGGCCTGAGCAGGAGGGAGGCTGCAGCTGTGAGATCTGGCCAGAGCCCGGGAACTGTGGGAGCACCTACGGAAAGAAGGGGGCACCTGGCCATGGGACCTCAAGTGCTCAGCTGAAGGGCAGGACCATTCTCATCAGGCGATAGGGAGCCATGGCAGGTGGCTGAGTAGGGGTGAGGATGGCCCAGGGCTGTGCTAGGAGAGGTACCCAGTGGCTCAGGAGCTGCAGCCATGGCTGGGCGGGTGTGCACTCACCTCTGCAGGGCGGGGAGCTGGAACCGCTCGAGGCAGAAGCAGACAAAGGCTCGCAGGTCCGTCTTGCTGATCCCACCGATGGGGTTGATGTCAGCACTGGAGCAGTCGTACTTGGTCAGGTAGCCCAGGAGACTGTGGGACAGAGGGCACATGAGGTTCTCACAGGGCATACCTGTGAGCTGCAGATTCTGCCAACTCTGGTTGTCTGAGAGCTCACTTCTGCCGGGGGCCTGTAAGCCAGAAGCCTGGCAAATTCTAGGGTCTCGGAAAAGTCTGGCATGGTTGGAACAGACTGAAAGGGGGCAGGGGCTGCAGATGACCAAGCAGGTGTGTTGGGTACCCCAAGGGAGACAGATTTTGGGGTCACCAGCACCCAGGTTGGAGCAGCCTGTCTGAAACGTGGGAGCTGGGGCCAGCTGAGTAGAGCTGAAGGACAGAGGTCCTGAGGGGGGAAGAGGGACCTCAGCCACATAGACGCTCAGCCGGGTAGTAGCCAGGCCCCTTCCCCTTGCCTGTCAACTTTGATCTCTGTGTTCAGTAGAAGAACGCTCCCCCTCATGAGTTGCCCACGTCCTAATACCCAGAACCTAGAAATACATCACCTGGCACAGAAAAAAGGACTTTGCAGATGGATTAAGTTGAGGACTTGTGATGGTGAGATGATCTTAGATTACAGGGTGAGCCCTAAATGAGGCCACAAGAGTCCTGAGGTGAAAGAGGGGGCAAAAGACGAAAGTCAGAGTGAGCACGCTGCGGAGCAAAGGCATGGAGAGGCCGCGCAGCTGGGGTGAAGGCGCAGGAAGATTGTGACGGCCCCAGGAGCTGGACCAGGTGGGATCCAGTCTCCCCGGGAGCCTTCAGAAGGAACCAGCCCTGCCCACACCTTAACCTTAGCCCAGTGAGATCCATGTTGGACATCTGTCCTGCAGAAGTGTAGGATGACAGAAGACTCGTGTTGTTGCGGCCACCAGCTCCATGGTCATTTGTCCAGCAGCCCCAGGCCACTCGCACACCTCTTCATCCTCTCCCCCCACACCCGCCAACACTTCTGGGGCAGGCCACCGTGCTTGCTGGCTGGACCACTGGATTTCTGCCCATCTCCTCCACCCCAGGGCAGCCCAGCCGCTGCCACAGCGATGCCTGGTCACGCCACGCCACTGTCTGCAGCCCCTCAATGCAGACTTCTGGGCTGGCCCTGCACATCTCGCAGGCACATGTCTCCACGCTCCCTGAGCTCACGCTTCAACGCTTCCCCACCCCTCCTGCCTCTTCCAGTCCACCCGAGGCGGGGTGCTCTGTGGCTCCCTGTCCTGGTAAACGGAGAGCAGACAGCAGACACAGGTCCTTCAGCAAGTGCTGGGATTGTGGACCACCGCTGGCAGGACAGGTGACAGTTCTGACCTCACCACTCTACTCTGCCCCTTCCATCCCAGATGATCGTCAGAGACGCAAGACCCTGGGGATGTCACAGGGAAAACTCAGAGAGCTGTGGGGACAAGTCCTGCAGGTGCAGTGCCCTGGGCCTGTCTCAGCAGAAAATCCAGAAGGGAGGAGGTCGCCATGGCGATGGGGGTTGGCACGTGTATATGTTAAAAGTTAAGACAGTCTTTTCCTGACTGAAATCAAGACTGATCTGGTCGGTTCACAGGACTCTGAGGACAACTTTGTTGAAGTCATAGAACGGGCATTTTCGTAAATTTCAGCGAATGGACCAACTAAGCCCCAGCGACGTCCCCTCTCCCAGGCTCACCATAGATCTTTCCCTCGATGCTGGGTCACCTCCATCAGCGTGAGTGATGCCCTAAGGGCTCGCCACATCCTCCCCTTAGCCTTGCATCCTGACCTCGCCCCATGACACGCCCAGGGCTGGCCCTGCTCTCTAACGCCGCTCCTTCCTGTTCAATCCTGAACCTTCCCCCGCCAGGTCTCTGCTCTAGCCACTCCAATAAAATTGTCCTTGTCAAGTCCCTGCCAATCTTCAGTTTGCAAAAGCCCACAGCCAACCCCAGCCTCCCACATCTGATCAATAAGACCCGCTGGCTCAGTGAACGTGACTCCCTGCCCCCTCCCGCCGAGAAACCACCCCGCCCCCGGTGCTGGGTATCACCTTCCCTCGGCTCCCACCCACTTCCCTGGCTGCTTCGTGTCGGCCTCTTGCCTGGGACCCCCTCACCTCCCAGCTTCATGGTGTTGCGGAGTCTCAGGGCACAGTCCTTAGACCCCTACTGTTCCCTTCTCTGTCCACGCTCAGTCCTATGGTGGTCTCAGGTGGTCCCATGGCTTTAAATGCCATCTTCACCATGCTGGGCAGTCCTAGGCATGCTGTCCTGTCTGGACCCCACCCTGAACTCTACACCCTGCTGTCCTGTCTGAACCCCACACCCCCACCTGCATGTCTAGAGAGCATCGCAAACTCAACATTCCTGACACAACTGGATTCCTCACCTCTCACCCCTTTCCCACCATCCCCCACATCTAGGCACGGGTGAGTCCATCCTTTCAGTTGTCCCAGTCCCAAAATTCAGGGTCAACCTGGGCTTCCTCACCCCACATCCAGTTCTTCTGCAAATCCTGTCCATTCTCCCACTAATGTAGAATATGCCAGAATCCAACCACTCCTCGCCACACCCTATCCACACCCTGGCCAGGCTCTATTCCAGTCTGCATGAGCTCAAAGGCCTTGCCACTACTGTCACCACCGGGCCGGCCTCAGCAACCAGAACGGCTTTGCTGGGCATCAATGAGACCTTGTTGCATTGTTTACAAACCCTCCAGCGACTTCCCAAGGCCCTGCCCTGAGAGCCCTTCTCCACCGCACTTCCCGAAAGGTCCCAACTAGCACCCTGGACAGGGCTCTGCGAGCTCGCGCCTGGTTGCCTTGGACTTTGCCCCGCGGGCCTTTGCCCTTGACTGATTTTGCTGTGTCTTTACACAGTAACAAGGCTAAGCTGTGAGCAGGACTGTATGCTGAGTCCTGTGAGGCCTCTGGGCAAACCACCAAGCCTGGGGGGTGAAAACTCACCCCCAACACCCCCTCTACTCACCAGGACCTGCCACTGCCCCTCGTTGTCATCCCTTACAATCTCTCCTGGGCATGTCCTCAACTCCTGGCTCCTCTCTCTGCCCCCCTCACATGGCTGGTCTGATCCAGCTCCCCCTACTCTGCACGAACACCTGCAGCTGCACACGGCTGGAGAGAAACGCAGGACCCCACCTCCGGGGGCTTCTGACTGTCATGGGCCATGGGCTGCAGTTCCCCAATCCACCACGTTCCCATGTCCAGGGTGAACATTCTGTCCACTCCCCCCAAATATCCTCTGCTTGCCTCCCGACCGCCTCTCTCACAGGTGACTCTGCTTCCTACTTCCCAGTCACAGCCCTCCCTGCACCTTGCCCGTCCACCCTGCAGGGCTCCGGCTGCCTTGGCCATGCCAGCGGGGCTGCCTGCTGTGCCGACGCCTGGCCACCTGCTCTCACCTCCTCTCCAACAACGTCCCCGCTCTGCACTGGAAAGTTTGTTTCCTCTCTACTGGCCTTTTCACGTCAGCATGTTAAAATAAGAAAACACATTCTCTTGTCCCCAGTGCTCCCTCCAGATACCAGTCTGTGCCTCCCTCCCCTTTAAAGTGAAACTTCTGGAAAGCTGTCTCCAGGCCTCACACTCCACTCCCCCTTCAAACCGTTCCAGCAGATTTTTCAGTGCCTCACTTGGACAAGACCAGTGTCCTTTTCAGGGAGACAGCAACTGGTCCTCAGTCTTGAACGGTCTCGCCTTGGGGCTTCTGCACGGCTGTTCTCTGAACTACCCTTTCCCTCCCTCGCCTCTGCAGGCCTTTGTAAAACAATGCTTTTCAACTCGGCCTTCCCCAGCCACCCCACCTACAGCTGCAAACTCCGACTCTCTCTTTCCCCACTTTAGTTTTCTCTGCAGATGTTTCATATGAGATATGTTATTAGTTTTGTTATCAGGTCTCTTCCACTAGAGCAAAATAGGGGTTATTTTTCTGTTTTGCTCACAACACCAAGAATGCCCGGTACATGACAAGTGTCTGACAATTACTCTATGATTGAGCAAACAGGAAAGCAACAGAATTAAAGTTAGAATTAGAAGGAATTGAAGTACAGAATTAGACAAAAAAAAAATTTTTTTAGATCAAAACTTTTATAAAAAATTATAAACCTGAGGTTCTACCCCAGAATGCACAAGAAAAGAAGAAAGGGCTACAACCACTGAGAAGGGAGTGGAAGACAGGGAGGAAGCAGATGGAAATCGACCTGACGTGGACAAGAAACACACCAGGCAGGAAAAGCACAACTAAACATCATAGAAGAAAAGTTCTTCATCTGCAGAGAGACTTCTACCTATCTATGAGACAGGCTTGGCAGCAAACGTGGTGGAAAAACACGAATACCATGGGTTCCTTGTTTTCTAGATAGACATCTAGAAACCTTTAAGCTCCCAGAACCCAACCCCAACCCTGGGAAAAATATGGTTTGTTGACATTTTAAATAGCAGAAAACAGTGGTCAAGAATTGTAAGGGGAAAATATTACAAAAACATAATTTTATATAACAGGTCAAATTCTTGTTCCACCACAAAAGCAAAACAAAACATCGGTATTCTCAGCTATGTCAGGGCTCAGAATATACACCACCACCACACCCCTCCTGAAACATCACTCCCCTAGAAACACACTGGAGGCAACAGAAAAGCTATGAAATGAACAAAATATGCATGGGGAGGGGGAGGACTTTCTCCAGGTATAGGGTGTTAATTTCAAATTGTTGTAAGCAGAGAAGTAAAATAGGATTCAAAAGTCAAAAATAAGATTTAAAAGAGAACATATGTGCAGACATGCAAGGATGTAGGAAGATTATGACACTCCTACTATGGATAAAACAATGGGAGGGAGGGAGGGAGGGAGAGAGGGAAGGAAGGAGGGAAGGAAGGAAGGAAGGAAGGAAGGAAGGAAGGAAGGAAGGAAGGAAGGAAGGAAATGTGGACAGATGTATAAATGGATGGATGAATGGAGAGATGGATGGATGGACAGGGGGTGGAGAGATGGATGTACAAATGGATGGGCAGGTCAAGTAATGGATGGATTCACTAATGCATAGACTAAGAGGTAAATAAATGACAGATAAGGTTTTTGAAATTCCTCAACTAATGAGGAGGAGCTAAGAACAGCAAAGAGAGCAGCTGGATGGGAGCCGAGGCTCACCTACGGGAAATGGGGAAACCAAGGCTGGAACAGAAGTCTACCAGCCTCCACCACTGAAGGTCAGCTTGAATTTTATCTGGAAAACAGTGGGAGTCTCTGAGTGTTTTTAACAAGGGAGCAATATAAGAAAGGGAGTATTTTCAGTCCACACCGAAAATGAACTACCTAGTTTGGAGGTGAAACCCAGATGCAAAGAAATGACCTAAGGCACAGTGGATGGCCTCGGAGAAAGAGATGAGCCCAGAAGTGAGCAGAGACCTGAGCCCAGACGTGAAGGTGGGGTTGGAAGGCACGGCATGAGCACAACCAGACAAAGCTGGTGGGAGCACAATGTAGATCCAACCTGCATGCTCGAGTCCTGTGACATTTTGGAGAAATGATGCCGCCTCGGTACTCAGCTTGCCAGGAGAGGCATGGGATGGCGGCAGCTTCCTCCCCGTGTATCTTATAGGTGTCCTAAGAGTCAACCAGATGCCACAGAAACCCCACCTCCTACAGCAGGTCGCCCTCAGAGACTCAGGACACCCCCCCAATGCATGCCCTGCAGGCCACACGTACCTCTCATCCACGTTGGCAGATCCGAGCACAAGAAGACCACCACGAGCACCCCGAGACCAGAGGCTCAGCTGGGCAAAGAGGTAGGCCAGGACCATCCGGATCCGAGCCTGGACAATAGGACAGGAAGCAAAGGTTACCCTGCACGGGCAGCATGGGGTTGGCGTGTGCCAGCATCAAGCTGCCAACCCAGCTCAGGAGAAGGGTTTCCCTAGCAACCTCTTGAAAAATTAAAATAATTTAGGAGCTCTCCAGTGTTGGGGAAAACGAGAGTCCCAAAGCCTGCGGGCATTCCTCTGGGAGTCGGTCCCACGTCCACACCCTCATGGAAGCTCAGCAGCGGGTTCTATCATCGAAGATGGAAGGACCTGGAGCCCAGAGGGTGGGGAGCACGCTGGGGACAGCACTAACATGCACTGTCGGCTGGGGCATAGCTCAGCCACCTCGTCTCACTCCCTCTACCTCGGGCATTCCTGTAGCAGGTGGGAAGGCCACCCACGCACAGCAGAGAGGGGACAGAGAGACAGGATGGACCCAAGTGGTTGTGGCCCCAGCACCCATCTGCTCCTTCCACCCATCAACCAGTGTCCAGCTCAGCAGCAGCAGCCCCGGGGGAGCGGGGTCTGGGCTGCCCTGAAGGAAATGCACGTGCTCGCCCATGCACCGCGCACACGTGCACATACCCACATGCATGCACAGTTACTCTCCCACTCCCACAAGCACACCCACACACACCTCTAGCTCCCCCGCACTCTTGCACACACTCTCACACACGTGAACCCCCAGCCTGTCCACGAGGCTGCATGATCAACGTCTCCCACGAGGCACACAGGCCGCTGGCCCCAGCACCAGCCGTCCCCAGGCTCCCTGCCCTGCCCTCGCCATGGGGATGGTGGCCCGGGCAGGGAGACACCTGCACATTCTGCAGCGCCAGGTTCTCCCTGCTGCTTCCTCCATGAGCTGCAAACAGCGGGCTCTTCCCCGTCACCAGGCTGAAGATGCCCACCACGGCCCTCACGGCCGGATCGATGTGGAGGCTGATGTGGTGGCTGGAGGGAGAAAGGGTCAGTGTGGGGGGCAGCGCGCGCAGGTGTGCATGCATGTGTGGTAGAACACACGTGACATAAACGTCCCACTGCAGCCCTTGTCACGTGCACCGTTCAGTGGAGTTGAGTGCTCTCACTGTGTTGTGCCGACATCACCACAATCTACTTCCAGAACTTTTCATCATCCCAAAGGAAACCCCATCCCCACTAGCAGTCATTCCCTATTCCCTCCTCCTACAGCTCCAACCACCACCAATCCTTTCTTTCTCTGAGGATTTGCCTGTTCTGGACATTGCATAGAAATGGAGCCATACAATATGTGGCCTTTTGTGACCGGCTTCTTTCACTCAGCACAATGTCCTCAAGGTTCATCTGTGCTGTCCTGTGTCAGAATTCCCCTCCTTTTCAAGGCTGAATGATACTCCACTGCATGGATGGACCATGCTTTCTTATCCCTTCATCTGCCCGTGGACACTGGGGTTGTCTCTTCCTCTTGGCTATGTGACGTGCTGCCGTGGACATTCCTGTACGAGCATCTGCCCGGGTCTCCTGCTTTCAGCTCCTTTGGGTACAAAGCTTGGAGCTGAGTGGCTGGGGGTGGGGAGGGCAGCTTTTAGCTGAGCTCAGCACACAGAGAGGCAGCTGCTCATTTTTCCTAAGAAGGATTATAAATGGAACATTCTGAATGGAACCCAGTCTCCCCTCTTTGGACAGGTGCCCTCTCTCCACCTTCCTCAACTGGAGAACTGCCTGGTGCAGTGGTGGGAGGCAGGGACACAAGGGGCCATGAGGGACATGGCCAGCCCACTCCTGAGACCGGCTGGGCTGGCTCCATGTGCTCCCACCTGGTGAGCGCATCAACCTGCAGCCTGCACCTGGGGCCGGGAAGGAGGGAGGAAGCGGGGAAATCACAGATAGCCCAGGACTTGGTGGGTGTGGAGAACTGATACACAGTTTCCCTAAAATCTGGCTCAAACCAAGAGAAAGTAGAAACCTGCTCGGCTCCTGGATGCACAGGTAAACAAACATGGTCACAGGTGGGGTTTGCGGTGGCTCTGATCTTTGGCACGGCTGCCTGCCCGTGCCCACCACCAGGGACCAGCACTACCTTCCAATCTGCCGCGCCAGCTCTCCGGCCCTGCCGCATGTCTCCTGGGAGGAGTTCTCACTGGCCATGTAGCAGGTGGTCAGTATGCGTCCACACAGGTCTCGAGGATCCTGGGGGGTGTAGCTGACCTGGTTCACGATCGTCCGAACATCAGCCAACACCTCCTGATCTGAAAACCGCCGGGACAGATGGGTAGGAGCTGCTGGCCGCGTGTGAGATGCCTGCATGGCATAACCCCACACCACCGCCCACAACCCCTCAGATGAGCACCATTGTCCCCATCTTTCTGTTGCATACACTAAGGCTATGCGTGACGTCACAGCACACGGGGGGAAGACTTGAACCCGGGTGTGATGCCAAAGCTGGGGTCTTTCCACCGGGTCCTGCAGTGGACAGCCCTTGGACCCAGCTGCATCATCTGAAAGCCCGAGGAAGGGCCTTTACTGTCCCTGCTGCCCCAGGCTCAGAGACCTGGGCGTGACATCATGACGTCTGGGCACGGCCACCACAGAGCCTCCTTCACCCAGGATGCAGTGACCTGGTCTCTCCTCTGCCCCTTCCTCACTCCCCACCCAGGGCTGACCCACAGGAGCCTCCCTCGGGCCCACAGATGCCACCTACTTCCGCTCTTCACGGCCTCACAGACCTGGTGGCACATGGAGTAGACGAGGCAGGCGGTGGCTGCGCTGTCCACTCCGCCACTTAGGGGCAGGAAAAACCCAGCCTGGAAAGGGCCGACCAAACACAGGTGTGAGCAGAGCCTCGGAGAAGAGACGTACCTGGTTGTCAGCCCGCAGGAAAGCTCGCGGGCATCAGTGCTTACACTGGGCGTGGGAGGATGCCCCGCCTGTGCCAGAATGGGGTTCCCAGAGGGCAGAGACCCTTCACTTGGGGCGCATCTAAGGCTGACTCTCCACCAGTGAACTACAGACACGCAGGAGCACAAAACCAATAAGAGGCGGCGTGGTGCATGACTCCAAAGGCCACCAGACAGAGTTCTACCGGTACTCCAAAGGCAGAGCAGACTGGGCTGTGCCTACATGCCCTTGCCAGTGTAGACCAGGCTGCCCACTGAGGCAGAGTGATGGAGCGCTGTCTGCTGCTTGCATTAAAAAAGAAATCACTACGGCCGGCCCCGTGGCTCACTCGGGAGAGTGTGGCACTGGTAGCGCCAAGGCCGTGGGTTTGGATCCTATATAGGGATGGCCGGTGCGCTCACTGGCTGAGCGTGGTGCAGGCGACACTGTGCCAAGGGTTGCGATCCCCTTACCGGTCAAAAAAAAAAGAAATCACTACGGCCGGCCCCGTGGCTCACTCGGGAGAGTGTGGCACTGGTAGCGCCAAGGCCGTGGGTTTGGATCCTATATAGGGATGGCCGGTGCGCTCACTGGCTGAGCGTGGTGCAGGCGACACTGTGCCAAGGGTTGCGATCCCCTTACCGGTCAAAAAAAAAAGAAATCACTGGCCTGCCCCAGAATTCAACACAAACCAAACAGCAGAAAGAGCAAAGTTCACTGGGTAGAAACTGGAAATCTTACCTGTTGGCTTCGTCTTAGAAAGTCCCAAAGCCAGCAGGCAGGTCCAAGGCTGCAGAGCAACCAGGGCATCAAGTCAAGAAAGGGCAGGCCTTGCTCATGGTGCACCTGCTCGGCTCACCTGGGGCAGGTCCCCAAGGTGGAGCCATCTGGAGATAGTGCCAGTAGGTGCTGGGCTCTCACGATGCCCCAGTCTCTGTTTTAAGTACTTCATGGGATTAATGCATTTTAATTGTGAAAACAACCCTGGGAGGTAATATTATCACTGTCCCCATTTTCAAATGGGACACTGAGAAACAGAAAAGACAGTGCCTTTTTGCCCAACATCACAGCATGCAGAAGCAGCCCCTCTGGGAGTCAAATCCAGGTGATTCTGGCTCTAGTGTCTACACTCCCAATCCCAGTAACGCTTAGCCTCCTCCTCGCCGTCTACTCCAGGAAGGTTCTGAAAACACACTACACAAGCCCCCACCCCAGTGTGACTGCAGCAGCAGCTGGTGGAGGGTCTGGCCACATGCACGACATCCCCCCTGGGGTCAGGAGCTGCCCACCTTATCTCCTCCTCAGGACTGTGGTATTTCCACTTGACAGGCTCTGAGATTGGCTCCAGCAAGTCGTCGTGGCACGACAGGGCAAAGTTCACCTTCACTCGAGGGTAGGGGCTCACCCTGCTGGCCTGTTGGTGGAGATTCACAAGAAAATGACATTCCCGTGTTAGGGAAACCCTCACAGGTTCCTGGGGCCGACAGAAGAGCAGGACTCCATCAGCTGCTGTGAAGCGCACGTTGAAGGGCAGCGAGAGCCCTCCCTCTCACCAGCATGGCTAAGACCAAATGCAGATGGCAACAAGTGCAGGCTCGCGCTGCCAGCAGGAGTGCACAACAGGGCAGCCACTTTGGAAAACAGTCCAGCCACTCCTCAAAAGGCTAAACAGAGTTACCATGTGCCCCAGCGATCTCACTCTGTGGAGTGTACTAACATTTACAAACCAAATGTATTTCACAGGGCCTAGCTTCCAAAGCCCTGTAGTTTCAGGTATAACCTAACTTTTAAAAATTACATACAGAAATGTTAAGCTTGCAAAAGACAGGAAACTTTCCCCCGGCTAAAGTCTCTGATGTAGATAAAGAATTGCAACACAGCAAAATTGCGGGCTCAAGGACAGATGTCCTCGGTGCAGGTTAACCTAAAGTTACTTTACTGTTATGTAAAAATACTGAGGAAACTGCTGTAGGAAAAGACAGTATTTGCTAAGAACAAGCTTTTGTTGGTGGATCAACTTAACCTTTTGCAAATTGCATTATGGAATGTCACTTTGTTATTTCACTGATGTTACCAGCTTCTGTTGTTAAACTATACTTAGCCATAACTTCACCTATGTACCTTCTCTGTAACTTTCTGGCCTGGAGAATAAATACTGGGAGAAGACCCAAGTCCGGTGTTATTTTTCCAAGGAGGAATGCCTCTCTCTTGAGGGTTCCCGGAAAATTAACCCCTTCAGGGCTTCTTACTGCTCAGAAGAAATGAACTTTGAGTAATCTTTTTTTTTTTCCCTTTTTTGTCTTTTTTCGTGACCGGCAACGGATCGCAACCCTCAGCGTTGCGTCCGCACCTCGCTCAGCCAGTGAGCGGCCGGTCTGTATGTGGGATCCGAACCCTCGGCAGGAGCGCCGCCACGCTCCCAAGCAGCGCACTGCAGCAGTGCGCCACCGGGCCGGCCAACTTTGAGTAATCTTTTTTGCCTCTCCATCACCCAGGGGGAGAGAGGTGACACCATTCCTGGGTACACAAGCCCAAGAGAAATGAAAAATGTGTTCACTAAGAAATGTGGACATGCATGTTCATAGGAGCATAATTCATAACAGAAAAAAAGTGCAAACATTCCAAATGTCCAACAGGTAAGCAAAATGAGTCTGCCTGCCCAGTGGGCTCTGTCTGACAATACAGGGAATGAAGCACTGATCTGTGCTACAGTTCAGACGAACCTTAAAAACATTACACTAAATGAAGGAAGACAGACACAAAAGACCATACACTATGTGATTCCATTTCTGTGAAACCTCCATAACAGGCCAATCCATGGAGACAGAGAGCGGATCAGTGGTTGCCAGGGTCTGGGCAGGTGAGTCAGGAGTGGCTGTTTACTGGGTATAGGCTTTCTTTTTGGGGTGGAGAAAATGTTCTAATGAAGGATCATGGTGGTAGTTGCATAACTCCATGAACATACTAAAAAACACTAAATCATGCTCAAATGGGTAAATTGTGTGGTATGGGAATCATATCTCAATAAAGCTGTTATTAAAAAAACAAACAAAGGGCCGGCCCGGTGGCGCACTGCTGTAGTGCGCCGCTTGGGAAGCGTGGTGGCGCTCCCGCCGAGGGTTCAGATCCCACATACAGACCGGTTCCCGCTCACTGGCTGAGCGAGGTGCGGGCGCGACACCGAGGGTTGCGATCCGTTGCCGGTCACAAAAAAAGACAAAAAGGAAAAAAAAAAAAAAAAACAAAGAGGAGGGTCCACTCCATCTTGAGCTCCACACTTCCACTGTGTTTGTATGACTGCTGTCTCCTGATGACTCCTGGTTTGACACTCCACTGGCAATGAACTCTCACAGAAGTGCGGAGTTCAAAGTCACCAAGAGCAGGACTGCCAGCTGGACGAAGGAGCTTGCTTGCACTCATGGCTCTCCGGTCCAGGCCTGTCCCCATCTCACTTTGTGCTTCTGGAATCCCAGGGTCCAGTCCTGCACCCTCAGTCCCTCCTCCACATTCCTGAATCTTCCCCCACGGCCTCAGCCACTTCCTGTGTCTACTACAGCACTCACTGCCAGGTTTCGAGATGAAATCTCTGCCCTGTAGCTCCTGATGTCCTCCAAATCCAACGTGGCAGTCAGGACTTCCTGGATATGGGAATTGCAAAGAGAAATCATGGCTTCCTGTTTCTTCTACCCCTATGTGTAATCTAACCACTGTCCCAGGTGCTGCAGGGGAACGAGTCACACTTTCTCCAGCAGGGGCTGGGGACCTGTGGCTTCCTAGGAGCCCAGGGACAGGGCTGGACGGTGCTGCTGCTGACCCAAAGCCCCACCCCCTTGTTGTCACCACCAGACCTCCACCGCACTCGGACACTTGCCAGTGACCCATTAATCACAGCATGAGACACAACCCTGTCAGTAAGTGTCTGCTGGGGGCTTCTGGGGAAGCTTCTCTCTCACAAAAATATGCACAGAGAGCAGGGGCCCCTTTCCTGCCTCTGAACATGGCTACGTGAAGATGGGACAGCTGGAGCTGATGCAGCTGTCCTGTGACCATGAGAAGAGGTGACCCAAGAAGGAAGCCAATAGAGAGAAAGGCAGAGCCAGAGCCCCACAACCCATGCCAGGACCCCAGCCTGCACCACTGCCTGTGTCACTGAACCCAGCCATGTGCAACACAGAGCAGAAAAGAGGTTCCAACAAAAGAAAAATGAGAGTGACACAGCTCTTTCTAAGTACTTTTTCATCAGTCTGTTCTCTGTAAAGGAAATTAACCTCCAAGAGGAGATAAACTACCTGGAGAAACTGTGCCTATGTTAATATGCATCTTTAGAGGCAGAGAGTGCGTAGCTTTCATCGGTATGTCTCAAAGGAATTTGTGGCCCCAGTGAGAGCACGAACCCCGCTCTCATCTGTTCAGTGCCAGGTGCCAGGCATTGTGTTCAGCCATCCCTGTAACCGGAGGACGGGGACATCTCCTGCACCAGAGAGGTGAAGAGGAGGCGACCAAAGCAGGCGGGACACCTGTGGGGCACTTGGTTGGGGGGACAGTGACAAAGGTGGCCTCTGAACTGGATGCTGACAAGGGAGGGTGGGACAGCGCTGCCCCACGATGGCATTCGCTCATTACCACATCGTCCAGAGAAAACTGGGACCCTTGAGCAAAAATGCTTCCGTTCATCGCGATCATGGCGCAGCCGTCGTAGTAGAGGCGGTCCCCGTCACAGCCCTTCTGGTTGGCCAGCATGTAGATCCCACCGTTCTGGAAAGGCAGGGCCAGCAGTGGGCTGTCAGCTGGGCCATCACCTTCACCTGCCACTGGCCTGAACACAGGTGACCTGGCCAGGCCAGCTCATGAGGGCTCCACACTTCCTCCCCCGCCCCATCAAGGAGACACACGTGTGGGGAAATACAGCACCCCCAGCCGTGGCGTACTTGGCCTCCCCATGTCCCGGGTATTACATAAAACATCAATTTTCACTTCACAGTGACCCTACGGGGCGGCACTGTCATCTCTGCTAGACAGAACAAGGTTCAGAGAAGCCAAAGCTCTAGGTGACAGAGGTGAGATTCAAACCCAGTTCAGCTGAACCCAAACCCGCCCACGAATGGCTAAACAATGTGGCTGTGACCACTTCACACTGGTTGGAATGAGGACACAGTGTGACAGAGCTCCCTACACCTGCCATGACTCCAGTGGCCAGTGGCGCACTCTGGGTCCCGGGAGGTCAGTGCAGGTGGCAACAGGACCTGCGTCCCAGGTGGCTGGGAGGGTCAGTGTCACTGTGCCCAGGAAGCCCGGGCATTACCAGTGTACACATGTTCACAGGGAAGTAATCACAAGTTCCGAGTGCCCTTCAGCATGGGCCGAGCCCTGTGCCTGGCACTGAGGACATGAGGTAAGGCGCCCACCTGGGGCACATGCTCCTGACCCGGCCCAGCCCAGCACTACCTTGGTGGTGGCCATGGTCACCAGGTCCACCCTGGCGTGGGCTTTGCGCAGCACGTGGTGACTGCCAGAGGCATTGGTGATGATCTCCACTCCATCCAGGCCCATGTCGACGTGGGGGCTGCAGGCAGAGAGGACAGCGGCTGGACTCCTTCCCTGCACCCCAGACAGCCCCTCCAGCTCTCCCTCAGCAGCTCCACAGCCCATGGCCATGGCTCCAGGACATCTGCAAACCCCACATCCTCCCAGCAGGCCTATGGGAGCATGGGGACCGGACGGCATGGGCAGCCCACCAACCTGTGGGGTGTCCAGAGCTCCTCACAGATCTCGCTCCCGATGCAGGTGTCCTGGGTGGCCAGCACTGCGTCTCCGAAGGGCACGGTTTCCTGCAGTCAGAAGACAAGAGCACACCAGACTCGCTGGCCGTCCCTGTCTGGGTACGTTCTGGCCTAGGACCCCACACGTCCTCAGGAGACCTCCATGAAGTCACCAAGCCCTGGCTCGTGCCCTTCCTCAACCTGGAGTATTCCCAGCCCACCCTGCCAGCATCTCCTCTGCTGACCCCCAAGGGCCTCTGGTCACAGCACTCCTGAGCCACAGAGCTTACTCGTGTCACGAGGACCTTGTGACAAACTGAGTCTTAAAGTTCCTGTGGGCACCAATCTCCATCTTCGCCCTCATTATACTAAAAGCAGCTCTCACATATGAGGGTTACTCTATGCCACACACGGCGCTCAGCACTTGGTCTACACCACCTGGACTCTGGACAGGATGCCAGGTAGTCTTCTCATCCCTACTGCAGAAATGACCTAACTGAGGGTGACAAAAAGCCACCCAGCTCCTGAGTGGTGCAGCCAGGGCAGAATGCAGGCACGTCTGTCTCCAAGAGCCAGGTTCACAAACCAAAAGAGGTGGGGGCTTCTGGGCAGGGACAGGGCTTCCCCCTGCAGAGGCCACATGGGTCCACTGAGGTACTAACGTGAACAGGTGCTGATGGGGTAGGATGTACTGGGTAGAATGGCCTGTTTAAAACACACACCAACAGTCTAGTGAGTGCCACTGGCCACCCAGCTTTGCCGTCTCTCGGGGCAAAGACAGTCAGAGCCGTCCTTGGCCCAGCAAAGAGATCCTCCCAGAGGCAGGAGGACTCCCCAGTGCACTCACCAACACAGACAGGGACTGAGGAACCAACACAGGCAGGGACTGAGGAACCAACCCGGCCCTTTCCCCTCCTCTGCCTCCTGCCACCGTCAGAGTCACCGTGTGCTGTGGCTGCGGGAAAGCCCACACCCCAAGACCAGAGCACTGGCCAATGGTGGACCCCTGTGCTCCTGGGCACCTCGAGAACCTGGCTGTGGGCAGGGCTGGAATCCTGACTCCATCTGGCAGTGAGGAGACCAGCGCTTGGGCTGACAAGGGGTTAAATAAGCATCAGGAATAAGCCCAGTGATTCACCCATGGGCTTGAGTGGTCCGTGTCATAGCAGCTACTGGGCTGTGTGTCCTGGGTCTTGAAACCATCCCTGAACCTTGCTCCCATTCGCCCGGGTCGACGTGTGTGCCCTGACCCACAATCAACTAGACGACGCGGAATCATCCAACTGCAGGCTGCACCCCCACATCAGTTTAGTGGGTCACCAGCGGAATGTCTTTTAGGCTATGACAGGGTCAGCAGGGACAGAGAAGAATGCGGATGGAGCACATCTCCAGCACGAGGCGGCTACTGAACCGTCTGCTTCACGCACACACCCGCGCACATCCTGCACTCTGGGTCATGACGGTGTTAACACATGTACATTGTTGCAGTTCCCAGCCAGAGAAGCTTCCAGGTCCCTCGGGGGGGTGATCCCTCTTGGCTGAGAGTCCCCTCTCCCTGTGTTGCCCTGGCCATCCCTGCTTGCCAACGAGGAAGGCACCAGCCCAAATAGCCCTTCCAGTGCCTCTTTCAGGGATTCAGAACTGGCACAGGCAACCTGCTCTGGCTCCTGGATAAAGGCGACCTAAGCCCAAGAGACCGCAGCGGCCACTGTCAGCCAGAAAGACCCGCTCCAGCCAAGAGGAAGAGGGGGCTGGTGCGTGGTAAGAGTCGGGGGAGGGAGACCTCATAGCTCCGGATGGCGCCCATCCCTGAGGGCCAGGTGTGCCCCTGCCAAGCCACTCTATGAGAGAGATTCGGGGTGTCCTAGGATAAATCGTATTATACTCATTACGTGCTTAGGACATATCTCCTCGCCTGGATTTTATATTTCTTTGGGTAAGAGAATCACATCCTGTGGAGACACTGGTAACAGGTATCTCTCAGAGAGAGGCGTCTGAGCAAGACAGAGTGCTAGCGAGGAGAGGCAGGGAGGACCCTCCCCAGGGGCGTCAAGCTTGGGACTCGTCCCCAATAAGGGGAGCCGAACGGGGCCTTGGCAACAGAGATGTGCAGCTGGCAGCGAGTTAGCAGTGCTCAGGCCCAGGAAGGCACCAAGACAGAACAGTCCCCGGCCACGACTCCCCTGCCGAGAGCAGGCCTGGGACAGAGCTTGAGAATGAGCCTCGGTACAGGGTCTGGGTTCCGCAGCTGGACCCGGGCCTCTCCGCTCACGAGCTGTGCGATTTTGGGCAGGTTACTTAGCCCCTCTGTGCCCGTTAAATGAGAAACAACACAGCTGCTGCGAGTTTCAGATAGGGCCATACGAAGAAGTGCTGGAAACGTCTGCAGCCTGTCCCATGCTAAACAGAAGTAGCCCTTTCTCTGCCACGACCACTTCTAGAGCTGCCTTGAGGTCAGGAAGTAGGGGTACAGAGAACTTGGTGTTAAGAACTGAAGTGGGTACCCCGCCCCAAATTGTGTGGAAGACCTAACCCCCAGTGCCTCAGAATACGACCTTATTTGAAGGTAGGACCTTTAAACAGGTTCATTAAGGTACAATAAGGTCGCTAGGGTGGCCCTAATCCAATCTGACTGGTGTCCTTATAAGAGGAGATCAGGATACAGACACACACAGGGACAACCGCGTGGGGACACAGGGGACACTGTCTTCCAGCCAAGGAGGGAGGCCTCAGCAGGAACCACCCTGTGGCACATGGATCTCAGACTTCCAACCTCCAGAATGTGAGACAGTGCCTGCTGTTTAAGCCACCGGTCTGTGGTGCTCCGAGATGGCAGCCCCAGCAGACCCACACACTCGGCCACCAGGATGGAAGGTGAGGCAGGAGCCAGAGGAGTCGGGGCCCCCAAAGACACCTCCTCGATGCTCCCAAGCGCCAGCACGCAGAGGAAGTGGATGGAACAGGGCTGGCTCCTGCCGTCCTGCCCCATCTCGGCCCCAGCAGCTCCAGTAGGAAGAGGACAGACGAGGCCCAGATAAGGCTGCCGGGCCAGAGCCTCAGGCCTGGCCAGCGGGGGCTCACAGATGTGATCAGACAAGATCATTCTGATGTTGGGTTTTCACAGAATGGACAAGATGACAAGTGGAGTCTTCCATGAGTTACGCCATTAGGAAAAGACCCACACTCAGCTTCTGGGCATTCCCGTCCCCAGCAGGAAACTGCCCATGAGGATGGAGCAGCAAGACCCCTCCCCGCTTCCCCACACAGGTCCTGCCATGGGAATGCCTCAGGGGTGGCTCTGACAAAGCCTGGACAAGGGACATTCTCCCCACAGACAGATGACCAACATAGGAGCTCAGTCTACTTCCAAGTTCATTCATTCATTCATTTCACTGATGTTCGCAGTGCCCGGAGGCAGTCCCTGGAGATCTACTGGAAAAAAATAAAAACTAAACTGCTGTGCTCAGGGGCCTCCACTCTAGCAAGAGAGAAGGACGCGAAGTCGCACATAAGTGGACGCTCTCTCATAATGTGCCACAGAGATCCGCGTGTGTGTGAAGACACGGCAGGGGAAGGGGCAGGGGGCAGTGGGTTAGACGGGGTGACCAGGAAGAGGGCCGGCCTCTCAGCAGAGGCCCAAACGCAACACAAAAAGGCCAAAGAGAGCTTCTGCACCACTGTCCTCCCCTCCTGCACCCCAGGACCCTGGGTACGCAGGCTTAGGAGGGCCAGACCTGACTGTGGTTCTTGCACATTGGGAATAGGTGACTGCCCATGTGGCCGCGTGTGGGAACACGGATGGTACCAGCCGAGGCGTCTTTAGGTTTCCCATGCGGAGGAAGAGAGCGCCTGCATTCTGAGCAGCCGAGGGGTGGACGCCACTGGGGCTGCCAACCCAGCTTGGTCACTGCTCAAGCTACCTGTGTCCTGTGACCACGTGGTGATAGCCGTGGACCCCAGCACGATTCAACTGCCCCCCAACCACAGGATGGCGGCCAGGACAGGGCCACCAGAGTCCCTTCCCTGAGAACTTAAAATTGAGACTAGGACGTTTTGCTCTAGGCTAGATAATCCTCAAATGTGGGAAAGGTAAGCCCTGGGGGTGGAGAAGGCCATTTTCTGCTCCGTGGGAGAAGCAAGGAGGAGAAAGCTGGTGTGACAGGAGGAGCGGGCGCCGTGGGAGGCAGCAGAGCCCGAGACCCCCACGCTCGGAACAGAAACCTCCGGCCCTCATTTTTCTCACCTGTGCTCGCCATGGTGCCTTCTGTTACTGGGATCCAAGCGTTCCTGCCCCGCACGTCCACCGTCAGCCTAGGACAGTGATGTCCGACTGAAAGATGAGCTCTGCACCCAGGGACTCACCTGCTTTGTCAGGTCCTGTAACACCCGAGGGAGAAAATACTCCTCTGTTTTCCTGGGGAAAAAAAAAAACCACCACCACAGTCTGAGAAGGCCCATCCCCCAAGTAAATCAGGAATGGCATCTAAAGTTAAATAAAAGCCAAACTGAGAGCTTCAAACTAAGGAATCAGCTAAGAGGCTGTGAAGGATTCATGCACTGCTGTAAACTACGGTGTTCAGATCAAAGGAGACCCACAAGGCGAGCAGATGAGAGTCGCACGTGGCTCAGGAGACGCCGCGGTGCCCTGTGCTCTCCCCCTCTGTCTGCCTCAGCTCCCCACCCTCGTGATGGCTTTTCAGAGACACGTGTCGTGGCTAGCAAAAGGTTCCCATTCCCCATGGAGAAATCCGGGTGGGATTCCTGATCACAGTTACCAAACCAAAACATCACGTGGCACTAACCTGACACACAGCTACAAATCTATCTCATCTCTGAAATAATAAGTAACGTTCCACACTTGTAAGATGGACAGAAGGTTGAATACACAACTTTATACAAGGTGTCCCAAGTGCTGCGCTAAAAGGTAGAATTTTAAAAATAAATGGGTCACACATTTGACCTCAAATAGGCTGTTACAAAATGCACCATCTAGACATTTAATTAACTTATGTCTCTTTTGCTTACTTGGAATTTACAAGAGCCTTCTGGGCATGCTTTTAGTA